TCACCCCTGGAATTGGTGGTGGTGCTCATTCTCCCATTCACAGATCATGTGTTCTTTTCTACCATTTATTGGGAGTCTGATTTTTAGCAACTGCTTTAATAGTAATGGTGCTGGTGTGGATCTAATAGGAGAAGCTAACATTTAGCGAGTGCTATTTACCAAGCACTGTACTAAGTCCTCTATAGCATCTAAGCTTCCTGACACCCATAGGAGAAACATTCTGTTATCCTGATATTATGGGTAATGAAAGTGAGGCTCGGCGAGGGCTATGCCTTGCCTATGGTCACTCAGCTACTGAGCGACTGGGCTGATATTTGATTCCAGGTGTGCCTGACTCCAAAGCCCGTTTTCCCTCTCCTTGTCCCTTCTTTGGGTCTTGTTCTTGCATTGCTGGTTCTCTAACCCTCATTGTCTCTGCACCTTGGCTGTCAGTCCTTGCCTGGAGCACCTGTTGCTCAGGAACCTGCTGGGACAAGTCTTCTGCCTCAACCTGGACATGCTCCTTCGGATGAACTTTTGGTGTTAGCCCTGCGGCCCCACGCACCAGGGTAAGAGAGAGTCTCATTTCCTGCCCTGGCCCGAGGGACCGACTGGCTGGGCCTGCCTTCTGCCCGGCTCACCGGTCATGGAAGAGTTTGGACGCACACTCTACTCTTGCCTGATGAAAAAAGTGTGCAGAACCCAGCTTGTTACTTTCATCTTTGTGGAGAGTTTAATGACTCACGGCTTTAGGGTTAGAGTCTCAATCCACAGTGCGCCGGAAAGCTCTGCTCTGCTTCTCCTGCTGCTCCTTTCCCTGGCTATTCTCTGTGAAAAAGAGCATTTTATATTTACTTAAAAACTATTGTGTTATGCAGGGAGTGAAATTTCCTTCCTAAGGAATGAGGTAGTCTTTCCATGGTCTCACTAACTAATCTCCCTAAAGTAAATGGCCATTTGACTTTCTAGCATAAGCTTGTTTTTCTTGGGAGTTGTCTAATAACCATCCCCCTCTGCACAGCTCAGTCTGACTCACCTGTATTCTGTGAACCAGGACTCTCCATTCACCAGATCTTCTGCAGCTTTCCACATGGTGGCAATTGAGACTTGGGGGTAGGACCCGGAGGTGCCCTGCAAGGTGCCCAAGTACATTGCAGTTCTTGAGCATGATTAGATCATGTTTAGTCTAGCCTAATTGTTAGCCTGGAACTGGTTCTTTAGATTATTGTGATTCCCATATGATTACTGGCAGTTCATACTCAGGGTTACCTTGAAGGATAAATGTTAAGAGTAGTGATCATTAAATAACCTGTTTTGATTCAGTAATTTCTATTAAAGGCATTACAAATATTTAGTGAATTGGAATTTAGGGGTGTTGGGTTAAGAAAAAAATATGCTATGGAACCTCTTGGGACTGAATTTTTCTGAAAATTAAGATGAAGGCTTGCAAGAGACAGTGGTTCAGGTTTCCTCTTGCTCTGGTATCCTGTGGTCTTCTTAAGTAGCTAGAGGTTTATAATTACAGAGATGTAATGCATGTAGACCTTGGGAAATACTCATTTTTTTTTTCTGATTGGTTGCTAAGATCAGGTATCTATGGAAATAATCATTAGTTAGTGTTCAAGATAGAAAATTTATTCTTTTTACTCTACACAATTACATGATGATGACTGTAGTGCTCCTTGTTTGATGGCTTCTTGCAAAGGTTGCCATAGAAATTGGATTTCTGATGCCTAGGAGAGAAACAGAAAGATAGTCCTCCCTCTGCCTTGAACTACCTCCACATTATCAGGAACCAATGGTCCTATTTCACAAAACCTGATAATTACTCTTCCCAGATTATTGCACAGGTTTTGAATATTAAAAATCTTCTCTCAACAGTGGTTTTATGAGCTCCAAGGAAACTTTAATAACCTTGTCCTGTATTATTTTTGTCTTTCTATCCATGTTTCACTTGAACATTGAAAGTTTTGTATTTCTATAATTCTGTTTGTGTGTTACTATGAAAATACTTGGAGATGAGTGCTCGATTTTCTTCATTGTGAATGTACCTTCTGGTGCCCCTGGTGGAAGATGGTTTCTGGGGATGGAGAGCTTTCCTGAGAGCTTTGCCTTTTTTATTTACAGAAGAAGTCTGACAGTTTGTATAAAAAATAAGAAACCTTTGTTTTGGTAATTGAGTCAAAAGATGGAATGAGCTCTCACTTTGTCTTTGTATTTTGTTTTTCCTTAACATCCCCAGAATTGTAATCTGGTATCCAGCATGTCTTAACCAAAGAAAGTACATTCTGGCCTGTGTATTTTTCCCATTTAACTGTGTATTTCTTTCATGTAATTCTTTACATGTGCTATTTACTAATTCATTCATTCTTTATTCAAAATACACATTTGAGTCTTCACTTTTATCTAGCACCATACGGCCCTAGGGCTGTCTTGGTGACTGAGACAGATAAGTTTTCTGCCCTGGCAAGATTCACTGCCTAGGAGGGGAGACAAGGTCGCCAGACAGTTAAAGGACAATGATGGTCATTTTAATGGATGAACACCAGGCATGTGTAATCTCAGACAAGGAACACGTAATTCAGATTTGGAGGTCAGAGAGGTGCTCTTGGAGAACGTGACATGTAAACTGAGACCTGAAAGATAAGTACGTGTTAGAACAGAGAGATCACAAAGAGGGAGGAACATTTCAAGGAGAGGGAACAGCCTGTGTGAGGGTGTTGGGTAACTGAAGTCACTGTGGAAAGAAAACGTAACACTGGTTTGATTGTCACTGAGCCCCAAAAATTATATTTCAGAGAAAATCTTGGCAATAGTTTGACTTCATTTTAGCTTTACCAGCTCAAAACCAGAAGGACAATGCAAGTTCTAGGTATGTTTATGAAGGCAAGGCATTATTGACGCTGGATGACTTGGACATTGTCTGAAGTTTGCCAAGAGGCGTTGTTCTTCCTTGAACTTTTCATGGATGTCTATCTTAGTAAAGAATTACAGATGGGAAGCAATTAGAATTCAGCTTCCCTCTGAAAAAGGGCTGTTCTTGACACAGAGCAGTTGGACCCTCTGTGCCTGAAAGAGAGTCAAATGGAGAATGTTTAGTTCCAGAAGCAGCATCAGCTCTAAGCCTGGACTGTGTATTCTGGGTTCCTTTGGAAGTCCCACAAGTCAGAAGTAAATTCTGAGTTGTTGAACATTGGTCACCCACTTGGCCACAGATAGTTATGGACTAACTCTGATGACCAGAGATGACCCATGTGGGCAGTGGGTAAGCCCGAATCTGGAATCTCGGGGTTTACATGCTTGATCTTGAGCAGTGGTTGTCTGCCTGCTCATATTGTAGATAATGTTCACCTGAGGGATGTATTTCTGTGAGCTCACACTGATTTTGATGATCACTTCTCTTCCTAAAAATACATTGTTGGGAAGTAAAGAGCACTATAGTGATTCATCACGGCAAAAATTGTTACTGGCACACCACCAGGAAATCCCTGTGGATCGTGGGTTAAAACAATGGTTATTAAAGTATGACTCCTGGAACAGCAGCGTCAGCATCAACTGGGAACTTGTTAGAAATGCAGATTCTCAGTCTCACTCCAGACCCACTGAATTAGAAACTCTGGGTAAGGCCCAGAAATTCATGCTTTAACAAGCTCTCAAGATGATGCTGAGGTACTTTGAAGTTTGAGGACCACTGGAATAAAGGAGAGAGGCTACAGGTAATGAGAAAATCCGCTCACTTACATTGATTGGCAGCCTGTGACTTCCACCTCTCTCCACTTAAGAAAGAGAGTGCCAATGAGTGTGAGTGATGTCATTACAGGGACAGCCATGAATTTGCACAAGCTTATTAAAATATTCAACCTATTGTTAACATTGATACTTTAATTTGTATTACTAATTTTGTCACAACAGGGATACCATAATTAGGTACTGCAGCTTTATTACTATAGCCAGAAGAGTGGTATTTATTTAATTTATTATTTATTGATTGATTTATACAGTATTTTACACAAAGAAATATGTTTAGATTGCTCTTAAGGAGACACATATATGTGTATAAAGCCAAAACAAATATTACTTGCCATAACACCCTTATATCTTATGTGCTGGTCTATTAAAAGTATGCTGGTTGTAATTCATTAAATTGATCTCATGACCCACTAAATGGCATGTGAACTGCAGTTTGAAAAACATGGATTCAGTGAGGTGTCTTTGCATGGACCCTGTCTCTAGAGCAGGAGAGGAACGGGGCTGGCCTCACCTCTGTATCAGGTAGACTTGGCTTTCAGTCCCTGTTCTGCCACTCTCAGCTGTGTGACCTTGGGCAAGTTACCTGTGTTCTCTGAGCTTTACTTTTCTCCTTTGTCAATGGAGGTGATAATATCTACATCACAGAGTTGTGGCAAGTGAATGACAACATACTTCATAGAATAACTGACAGTGGTAGCTACCATCTTGCATGGAAATGGTACTGTTAGCACTATTTTTCAGAACATTATCAGTTACATACGTTTTTGTGGTATGGTTTTTTTCCATACTCCAATGAAAAAGTATCCCCTGGAGCCTGCGCATTTAGAACTATTTTTGAAATGATTTTATCTTAAAAATGCATTCAAATTCTACACTGTATTCTAAAATATACTCAAATTTTGATATATATGTGGGGCTATTTTGTTTTGATATAAAATTTAGTCTCCCTGCCCAAAATCCTTGAGGGCACTGAAATTGCAGAAGATGCCATGAGTGACTGCAGGTACCCTAAACATAGCTCTGGGCAGTGGCATTTGGGAAACATAGATCTTATGGTTGTGTTTCTGTGGGAACATGCTCATTAGACATTCTGTGAATATTCATGCCTGTTGATGATTTAGGGGCAGCATCTTCAGGTGTGTAGCTCTGTAAATTGGCATCTCAGGTCACCTATGGACCCTGGGTAATTAGTGTGTAGAAGTACCAGGCATTGGTTACCCATGAATCAGATGTTAGAGAGACCTAGCTAATGTCCACTTGTCTTTCTGGAGGTCATGATCGTGGTCGGTGGACAAGCCCCCAAGGCGATCCGCAGTGTGGAGTGCTATGATTTCGAGGAGGACCGATGGGACCAGATTGCCGAGCTTCCCTCCAGAAGATGCAGAGCAGGTGAGCAGCACCATCTCCCAGTGTGCAGGGTGCCTTTCCCTGGCCTGCCTCTCTGTTTGGTGGCACAAGTCACGCTCTGCTCCTTATTTCCCCAAATATCAGTGCATTACAGACTCTCTTCCTTTTCCTTCCTCACTTGCCAAGTTTCTAACTATTCCTTCTGGGGGTCAGTTCTTTTGTGCTTAGGGACTTCAAGCTAAAATTTGTTTGCCTTGAATGAAACAAAATTAGAAAAGCAAATATGAAAAAAAATTCAGTGAGTCCCATAATGACCTCCAAATATCTGAAGTTAGAGATTGCCTTCTGTGGCTAATTATTCACATGCCTGCCTTGCTCCCCCCTTGTCACTCATCAACATGAGTTATCAAGTGCCAGAGACAACCTTGGTGCTTTGGTTTTCTGTGCCTCAGGTGTGGTGTTCATGGCTGGCCACGTGTATGCTGTGGGCGGGTTTAATGGCTCACTGCGTGTGCGGACAGTGGACGTGTATGACGGTGTGAAGGACCAGTGGACGTCCATTGCCAGCATGCAGGAACGCCGGAGTACGCTGGGTGCAGCTGTGCTTAATGACCTGCTCTATGCCGTGGGGGGCTTTGATGGCAGTACTGGTAGGTCCTGGACATGGTCCCCACCTGTCCCAGCCTGGGGCACACCCTCCTTGCAACCCTGGTTTGCTCAGCCAGTTCTTGGGCCACCCTTCTGGCCATCCATAGTTACTTCCCCAAGGACATACTCATCCTTTTTTCTGTCCCAGCTTGGGTGCTAGAGCCAGGCCTTTCTACACACAAAAAATGTAACTGCCCATGCTGTCATTTCTAGGGCTTTAGGAAGGACCCCAATTGTCAGAAGAGGGCCTTTTCTCTCTGCAGTGCCTGGGAACCCATTTACTCAGAAGATGAGATGTAGAAAGAGAGCATGTTTAGTTGGAGCATGTCTGGGACTGTAGTCTGAACCCTCTCTTGGACAGATGAGGGAACTAAGTTTCAGCCATTGGAAAAGACATGGCTCAGAACTTACAAGCTTTGTCCACTGTCCTTTGTACTGCTCCACTGAATCTTTGCAAGGCTGTGCCACTGCAGGAATGTCCCCTTGCCTCTGGTTCTTATCTAGCTTCAAAGTTAGAACCAGAAACTATCAGTGCACATGGACTTGGAGAAATTATCTCATTTCTCCTTATGTCTCCAGGTGGTGTCTCTGTAGACAATAACTCTATTAAACTATTATAAAACGATATCCTTTGGCCTCCAGGGTTGTGAAAATAATATTTTTTACTTCTCTGCATTTTCATTTGTTTCTTTAGAAGTTGGTGACCTTTACCACCCTTCTCTGGGCCTCATTCACATAAGTCCAGGGTCTTTAGCCCTTCAGGGACTGCCTGTAATAGTGGGACCTGGGAATAAAGAGAACAAAAGGGTGGTGGGACATTGTTTCTTTTTAGAATTTTTTTAGGATTTTCTTTTGGCTGTAATTAGAAAAACTGACTAGACTGTGGCTTAAAAAAAGAAATATTTTGTTTTACTCATGAAACAAGAAGTCTAGAGGTTGGCAGTTGCTGACTTGGTCCAGTTGTTCAAAAATATTGGGGCCACATTCTGTGAGAGTCTCGTGGCTTTATCCACATGATCACAAGATGACTGTTACAGTTCCAGCCAACATATTTGTGTTCCAGGTACAAAAAGCAGGAAGGGGTGACATCTGTAACATAAAAGCAAAGGCTATTTCAGAAATCCCTATCAGATTTCTAAGTAGGTCATACTGACTTGTTTACCCCTAGCTGCAAGGGAGTCTGGAAAGACAAGTTTTCAGCTTTTCAGCTTCAAAGGTAGATGAAGACAAGGGAAAAGAGTGTTGGAATCGGTTTTCAGGGAGACAACCTAAGGTATTTATTCCATTCTGTAGATTTAGCAATTTATGTTTGCAGAGCAGTTCAGTTATAACCCTTGTCCTCTTACAATCCACCCTCTGAGTCAGGCCTTAGTGGTCCCCTCAGGTAAGTACAGTACAGATATGTTTCAGGCAGGTGCCATGGGCCACACAGTGAGGTAGAGGTGGTGCTGAGCCATACAGCAAGGTGTCTAGCCCCCAGGAAGAGGCATCTCCCCCATCCACACTGGTTCTCAGCACAACAGGGTGAGGCCTGGTGCCATAGACAGCTCATGAGTCTCTTGTCTCCCAGGCCTAGCGTCGGTGGAAGCCTACAGTTACAAGACCAACGAGTGGTTCTTCGTGGCCCCAATGAACACGCGGCGGAGCAGTGTGGGTGTGGGTGTCGTGGAGGGTAAGGAGCACCAGTGGGCCCCAACCCCAGCCATGGGCTTCTCCTGGTTGTCTGGCTCTATCATTTTATCACTGCTCTGAATCAGGTATTAGTGACCTAATTTAACAGATGAGGAAATTGAGACTCAGAGAGGTGAAGCTACTGGCCCAGGGTAAAGAAGTGAGTGAACTAGGAAGAGCCTAGAAGGGAAACACCACTTGTCACTTTGGCCACTTATTCATAGCTCTATTACAGGTTGTGAAATGGAGAATAGCAGGGAACCCAGAGTCAATACGTAAGCCAGAAATAAAATGTAGAGGGGGGTGATAGTTAAATGTCTAATTAACTTTGCCCTCATGTTCATATGTTACATTAACAGAGCCTAACTGAGGTGGGCACCTCTTCCCAGGTCTGATTAGTCCCTTGCAGGGCAGGTTGTTGGTAGAGTCCTGCTCTAGTCAGGAAAGGTGTATAGGGTGATGCGGAAGGGCGTGGTGATGTCTTGGGCCTACTTAGATAGTACACCGTAGTTTGTAAATGGCTTTCATATCCAATTCCTCATATGGTTCCCAAAACCCTTCTAAAGGAGACAGGCAGGATTTAGACGTTCTCCATTCTCCAGAAGGGCAAACTGAGTCCTCGAGAGGTAAGTGATGTGTGCCTCTTGTTAGTCAATAGCACAGACAGTCCCTGAACCCAGGTCTAACTCCTAACCCAGTGCTCTTTCCACTGTGCTACACTCCCGCAGACCATTAGAAAATGCTGGCTAGGAGCAGTTTTATAAGTATGTGTGAATTCAACGTATTAAAGCATATGGCATTATTTGGACTAAAATGTTAAACTTTGCAGAACAACACTGATTCATTAGCTTGTTTTGAGGTGGGAATTTAGCAGGAATATTTGTGCATCAGACTTGTACATTCTCTCTTTCTCTCTCTCTCATGGGTGCACACAAGAACACACACTAGTGCTTTGGGGAGAGGGTAATGTGCAGTGAATTAAATATCACTAGAAAGATTCTCTTTTCTCATTGCATTTCTTAGTCTGTATTGTGTAGTTTAAATTTTCATATTATTCTAACATCCTGAACAAGGCATCTTAGCAAGTGCAAAGAAAGAAACAATTTATTCTCCTATGAAGATAAATTATTTCTTTCAGTTTCATCCTCCTGGTGGGATAGAAATTGACTTGTCTGTCAAATGTAAGTGCTTTGACTAGCCACCTTCCATTCCCCTCATTGTTCCTTAGCCAGGAATATTAAACAATAGAGTCAATAGCATATCCCTGTTAATAAACTCAAGGAAGAACCTTGAGTGGGTATTTTTTCAGCGGACACAGGGTTGGAATGGCTGGTGGAGGTTAGAGGAGGTACCTTCATGATAGTATTTTGAAATACTCCCCTTGACAAACGCCTCTGTGAGCACCTTCTCTTCTGTGGAAGAGATGCTGCCTTGCAGCGTGCCCTGCTGATGTGGAGGACAGACCGAGAGTTTTGTTTCTTTTGTCCATCCTGAGTTTGAAAATCTTGGCTGTGAGTCATCCTGGGACAGCAGAGAGTCCAAGAATGGTGACGGGAGGGTCTTCAATGGACTCTGCTTCACCATGGCCTGGTAGATGCAGCTCTCCGCGTTGTCTCCACAAGACTCTGCTCCCTCTCATCATCTCCTAACTGTGGCTCTACAGTCTGAATGACACTAGAGCAAAAAGGAATGGAAATCAGGATCATTGCTGTCGGCTGCCCAGAAGAATCCCTGCTTAGGAAAAGAGACAGTGAAACTCGGAGATCAGGCAGAAGCTCCCAACAGAGTGGAGAGCATGTGCTATGGAGAGTAAGGTGTCTAGGCTGCTGGGGTTGCCCTCCAGAGCGTCTTGTCTCCTCTGCACCCCAGGCCTTTCTCCTCCCTGAGGGGCTTAGGCTTTGACGAGGGGCGGGCCGCCGGGGGGCAGGCTGTGGCCTCGGAGCCAGCCCACCGCGAGAGTGGGATGGGCCCTGGAGGAGCTGCTGGGCCAGAATTTTTCTCTCTGGCTTAGGTGAGGGCAGAACTGGGGAGGAGGTGTTTCTTTTTTTTCTAGGAGGACCAGTTGAGAGGGCTGTGGGGCAGAAAACAACACCAGGTTCAAGGATAGAAGAAATAATTGTGTATATTTTATTTCCGGCAGGGTGGTAGTAGTCCTGATATGGCCATAGTCCTGATGCTAGAGCCGTGTTTTCAGCCTGAGAATCTCTTTCCAACGTAAAAGAATCGCAAATTTTCACGCACTAGTTGTATTCTTGGTGTTTCTCTATTAAGAAAAAGCACATTGACAAAAAATATTTTAAGTAACCCTGTTAATTAGATTTGCATCTAGTGGTGTTTATTTAGTCTATAGCTAGTGTTTAAGATCTTTGTTATAATTCCATGGTCCCTGTAGATTTGAGGTCTACAGGTCCGGTAGGGTTCCCCAACACACACACACACACACACACACACACACACACACACACACACACGAGATCTTCCTACTGCATTCTAAGACTACATGTTCAGCCCAAAATATTTAAATAACTGCTCTGGGAGAACTCAGATAACAATTTCCTGACTCCTTTCCCCACTCACTCCAATCCAAGGCAGAAATGGTGCTTAGATAACAGCTTATGGTGTTTTTATTTTAAAAATAGGTGATGGTGCCTCAGGGCCCTTATGCATAGCTCAGAGATCACAGGGAGTTTGCAGGTAAATTCTAGCCAAGTCAGCCCAGAGTGCACCCAGAGACCTCCATTCATGTGCTCCGCCTGCGAGAGTTGTGGACAGAATACAAACCGTGGCTCACACAGGGGTTGGGTTCCCACTGAAGAATATTTTCCATATTTGTTCTGCCTGTTATTGTGAGTGGTTAGCCAGAGAATCAGCTTTCCTGCCCATAGCTGGGACCCTCTACTTTTATACATCTTGTTCCTTGTTCTGGAGGGGATCTAACAGCTCACTAGCAAGGATACACTGAGCCCCAGCAGTGCTGAGCCAATGCTTTCTGCTGTGTATTTGGGGTGTATTTATTTAGAAAGAGACTCAGTGCTGCTTCAAGGAGCTCAGGATGTAAGAGAGAAGTCTGAGATGTGAAGGACACTCACCCTGCTTGGGGAGTAAGTTGGTGGTTCCCCCGGAGGGAATGGGCCCTGAGGTCTGATGGAGGTGAGGGAGCCAGTCGGTTAAAGATGGAGTTTCTGTCATGCCCTGGTTCCATGACAGGTCCCCAGCACCACCCTCGTCTACTCTGTCTGTCCCAGGAAAGCTGTATGCTGTTGGGGGTTACGATGGGGCTTCCCGCCAGTGCCTGAGCACCGTGGAGCAGTACAACCCTGCGACCAACGAGTGGACCTACGTGGCAGACATGAGCACCCGCCGCAGTGGCGCAGGTATGGGGGGAGGCTCAGGGTGTCGATTGTGTCTGATCTGCTCACAGGTGGGTCTGGAGACCAAGAGCTTAACTTCCTACCTTTTTAACCTCCCTCTTCTTTCCTTTCAATATACATAATCCCACTAGCACCTTGTAGCTGGACATAAGCCCTTATAAATTAACCTTTCTCTGGGGATTACTTTGTTAGAAAATGGATGAGATAATATTCTCTTCATCAGCATCCCTCCCACTTCTGTGGAGATGTCTGCCAGGCCCTGTCCTAATAAGGACTCTGTATGACTCGATTTATTTAATTCTCACCACACCCCTCTAAGGTAGACCCAATATTAATCTCACTTAACAGATTAAAAATGTAAGTCAGCCAGGGACTGAGTAATTTGCTCAAGGTTATATCCTCAGGAACTGGCAAAGTGAGGATTCCCACTCAGGTCTGGCTTACCTCAAAGTTTGCTTTTTCAACCTCCAAATTATTCGAGTCTCATTCTTACAAAGCAGTAAGACAAGCACAGCTAGCTATCCCAGTCTTCAGTGGAGAAGCTAAAAGTTGCTTGTCTAGTGTCTCTGTCTTGGGGGTTGAAAGCCAAGCCAATAGTGTTCATACTTGAAGATAAACTTACATCGTCCCCATTCACCTTCCACCACTTCACCCCCCGCCCCCACACGGGAAGAGCATGACTTCCTACTTTTACTTCCTGTGGGAAGACTAGAAGCTGTGTGGTCCCCTGGGACTTTCCAGGAAGTGGAGCAGCATTCCCTGCTTCCTGTTTTGTCTTCCTCCGTCGCCGTAGCGGCCCAGAAGAGAGGGTCTGTGAGGCTCTGGAGACGGGGCACTGGCCTTCTCTCCCAGTTCCTGCAGGGGGTGGGGGCTGATGACCAAGCGGGGCCTGGCAGGAAGGTTGTGTGAACTTCTGGGAAGGGAAGCCACAGTTGGGAGTTTTTTCCCCTGCATTGTTATTCCTTTCTTTCTTTGTTTTTTCCTTCTTTTTTCTTTTTTAAGATTGAACTGTGATCTCATTTTATAGTACTGAATACATGACCATTTCCTCAGCATTCCTTAAAAATTATGCTATTTTAATATTTCTCAATATTAAAATATTATGCTCACTGGTTAGAAAAGAAAAGCTGTATGATCCCACTCACAAAGCACTTTAGGGAGCTTGTCTCTGCTGATCCCAATGGGCTGGCACTTCCTGAACATGCAGCAAGTAATGGAAGTCAGGAGGCCTGGGCTGGGTGTGCTGGGTCTGCTCAAACCTAAGACCTTGGGGGGAAGGGAAGTCCCTTCCCCCTTTCTGGCCTCTGGTTCCCGAGATGTGAAATGAGCGGGTTGCAGTAAATGTTCCCTTGGGGCCAATTCAACTCACCAATCCCATGGTTCTTCCTTCACAGAGCTCCTGTAGTGCTTTTGGTTTATAGAGTCTTAGTAGAGTCTTCTTTGTACTTCTTAAATCTCCTCTGTGTGACTTGAGGTGTGAGAGCAGGTGTTTAAAGCCCAAGAATGTAGGGAAAGCCCAGCAGGGGTCAGGCAGCACACACTGAAATGTGTGGTTGCTCATAGAAACGTCTCAAGCAGAAAGTGCAGAAGCACAGCCCTGTGCAGAGCCAGGGGCACAGACCTGCCTTAGAAAGTTCAGGCTCCTCTTGTGGACAGAGCTGCCTTTGGAGGCCACGCTGCTCTGTCTCTGCCAGGCTGTTGAGGGTTATAGCTGAGTGGGGATCCCCTGGGCCGCTCCCACCCCTCACCTCGGTTGAAGCCCTGGGGGGCTACACCTCTACTGCCGGTGTTCCCGGGAAGCACAGTTTTAGGCACTGGTCTCTCTCCAAGAGGTGGGCGCTTTCCTCAGGCTCCCAGTCAGCCTTTCATCAGTGCTTCACATTCGTAAGATTTGGGGAAGCCTCTCCTCTGGAGTGGGGAACCCACATACTTGTGGTGGTGGGTGATCTTTGGTGGCTGAGCGCCCAAAGGCCCTGACCTCTGGTTGGTTGCCTGAGGCCCATTGTGGTGCCGGGAGCCCCTGTGGCTGTAGGCCCAGGAAACCTCTGCCCTGAGCCCGAGTGCCTGGGAGGCTGCTGCTTCCTCAGCAGGGGTGGGCAACTGCCAGCAGATGGTGTGGGGACAGAGGCTTCTTCCCGGTCCCAGCCTATGCCAGCTTCTGGTGCGTGTGGAGCCGGGGAGAGGGGTGGTGGTTGGGGGACGTGCGGGGCGGGGCGGGGCGGAGGGGAGGATGGGGGCGTTGAGGTAGCTTCCGAACGCCGAATTTTAGGATACTGAGCCCGGTAGATCGCCATTGTTGACATAATACCGCCATCTGCTGTTGGTTTAGGGCAACTGCAAGGAACCACTAGCCAACCAGCAGAATTGCTGAATTGGATTTTATGCATTTTGTCATTCAAACAATATTTGTTGAGAACCTACCACCTACCTTCAGGCACAGGGAAACAGTTGTGATAAGACACATATGGTCCTTGTCTATATGAAATTTATATTCTAGAAATCAAGTCTCTGAGTCTAAAACCTGGCTATACATCCTAATCACCTGAGGTACTTTTTCTGATTCACCACCAGTGTCTCTGGGACTGAAGCCCTGCAATGTAAGTTTTCAGAAAGCTCTCAGCTTGCTGAGATGCAGCCTGTCTGTGGAGTCGTCCTTGGTGCACTGGAACTGCTGATCTAGCCAGCCCCTCACTTTACAGTGGGAAAACTGAGGCCCACAAAGGGGGTGTTAGAGACCCTGGCCAGAACCCAGGTGTCCCAGCCACCAGGTCAGTTGCTCTTCCTACCATGCCACTCTCCTCCTGAGTGGCTTTTTAACAAAAATTCTCAATCAAGGACATGCTTCTTGATTTTAAAGAGAGGAGAAGGGAGGGAGAGAGAGAGAGGGAAAGAAACACCTATGTGAGAGGATCAAACCAGGAGCCCAGGCATAGGCCCTGACCAGGAATTGAATATGCAGCCTTTTTGTTTATGGGACAATGCTCCAACTGAGCCAGATTGGCCAGGGCCTGGCTTTTATTTTCTTGACTTGTATTAAAGAATGCAATTCCACAACTCAGCTGAGATCTGTCAACACTGACTGATTTAACGCCCCTCTGCCATCTAAGAGGACAGCAAGGGTTGAGGGGCCAGAGAGAACAGCTTCTGCTTCAGGACAGCAGGGAGGTCTCACTGCTGTAATGACCTCAGTGCACCTGCTGTGTAGGCTGGTTTCCGTCTTTAACTCTTTCTGCCCAACTGATTTCAGGCTGAGTAATATAAGTAATACAACAGCGAAGGAAAAGTAGGCAATGTAGAAAGGCAAAAGGAGAAGAAATACAATTTTACCACTCAGAAATAACTACTTTCAATGTTGTGGTGGAGTTCTTTTCAGTCTTTTTTTCTTTGCATATGAACCCCCCATTTATTTACACACACGTTATGTATGAGAAAAAAACCCTGGAATTTATTTATAAAAAATTGTGTATTCATTCTTACATGTTTAAACTTCAGTCACCTTCAAAGTACTCTCAAATTGGTGTAATACATGTATAGAGACATTTTTTCCACTGCTCATAATAGTTTTCGAACTCATTGATTTTCATGTTTTTTAGTGCTTCTGCCCTTTTTTGTTTCAACTCTTCCACTTTGGCAAAACATTTTCCTTTGAGGACTTTTTTCATCTGGGGAAACAAAAAAAAAGTTGCTTGGGATGAGATTGGGTGAATAGGGAGGGTGGGGTACGGGGCTCATGCCATTTTTGGTCAAAAACTGCTGAACTCTCAGCGCGGTCTGGGCAGGTGTGCTCATAAATAACTCGTCCTAAATGCGCTAACGTGTTGAAAGGGTCTTCAGAAAAAATCACTGAAGCCGGACACAGCCTCTCACAACAGTGCCAGCTGATACACTGTTACAAATGGATTCCTGGACCACTCACCTAGTGGGGGGAACCTGTACTATAAGGGGCCCACCTTCCAGAAGATAATTCCAGTTTTTGGGGGGTCCCCCTTGTATATATACCTATAAATGTATTTTATACCTATATAAAATATATTTATTAAGGTTCTTTAGGTAGAAATGGGGACATATTTGCTTTTTATTTTGATTTTTCTAGGTTGACAGTCACATCAGGTGGCAGGGTATCATTATATTTGTTTTCCAGATGAGGACACTGAGGTCCAAGGGAACAAAACACACTACCCACATCACCCTGCTGGCAATGGCTGTCCAGGACTGGGTGCCAGGCCTCCTGGTTTCTGGTCACTACAGTCAGCCTGAGGCTGGGACACTGTGCTCTGCTTTCAGGAGTTGGAGTCCTCAGCGGACAGCTGTACGCCACAGGCGGTCATGATGGGCCCTTGGTGCGGAAGAGTGTTGAGGTTTATGATCCTGGAACAAACACCTGGAAGCAGGTGGCAGACATGAACATGTGCCGGCGCAATGCAGGTAATATGACTGCTCTCTCCATCTCCCCTGCGGGGGTTGTGGGTCTTTCCTCCCTGCACACCCTAGCTCTAGAAGAGACTCCCAGGGCCCGGTGCTGAGCAGGGAGAGTCCATTTGCTGGTAGGCTCTGAGCTAGGGGAGGGAGAGCTTAGAACTCTTAAGAGCTAGCCACAGGGTCCGCACTTAGATGCAGAGGGTTCCTTCCCTCTCAGTGAAGGGTGATGACTTTCACTGCACATAGGTGAACGGAGACACAGAGGAGCCCTCTGGTTGCCATCAATGCCTGATGGCTTTGTTGGACACAGGTCTATGCGGACATGGCCAGACAATGACACTTGGTTTTATCTTTTCTTTGCTGATACCTGGCTATGAGAACCTCTCACTTCCCCCCTGAAACCAATCTCCTTCCTTTTAGGGGTCACCACAAAAGGATTTATGATTGATTCTTCAATTGGACCACTTCCCTTCTTCCCTTCTTTGTATCTCCTATCTTTTCTGCCCTACCATTTTCCCCTCTGTAGGAATGATTTACCTTAGAGTGTTTCGGTTTTATTCCTGGAGCCCGATATCCCTATTAAAAACTATTTTAAGGACTTTGCCCTATGGGTCATGTCCTATTGTTAGTGTGTCTGCTTTAAGTCTCCTTGCTCTGTGAAAGTGTCGGCTTAGCCCAGCTTCCCAGGCTGGAAAGACAAACAGGTACATGACTTTCAGTCAGATTTATTTCCTTTATACTCACATTACCTGTTTGCCAAACCCATTTGTAGCTGACTTGTTGAAACTGAAACAGTGGAGAGTTTATTAATTTGCTCACTGTCTAAGCTTGCCGTCGTTCAGCCTTAAGCCACATGAGCGGGGAATTACCGAGCCCTCAAGACAGCCAGTCTATCCAGAGCAGGGGTGTCCAGCTTGCGGGCCACATGCAGCCTAGGAGGGCTGTGAATGCGTTCTAGCATAAAATCGTATATTTGCGTAAAACCTGTGTTTGCTCACCAGTTTTCGTTAGTGTTTGTGTATTTAATGTGTGGCCCAAGGCAACTGTTCTTCTTCCAGTGTGGCCCAGAGATGCCAGAAGTTTGGACACTTCTGATCTAGAGTCTGAGAATTAAATTTAGATGTAAATGTGTATGTATGTATACACATTCACATATAGATATTTCTATTTTTACAACAAATTGAATCATTCTGTAATACTGTTTGATAATATGCCTTTTAAATTCATTTTAAAATCTTTTATGAATATCTTATAACACTAAATATGTTTACATATTATTTTAAATGCCTACATCATAACTTAAATACCTAATCCACTAGTGGACATTTTAGATTATTTCCATGTTTTATATAAGCAATGCTTTGGTTATTATAAATGGCCCTTAGAGTTAATCAATGCATACATCTAAAATAGTCTTTTAGAATAAAAGGCCAGAAGTGGCATTTTTGAGTCAGAGTGGCATAGGTGCTTTCCACAGCATCCTGGAAGGAGGCACACTTTGTCCTCTTGCTGGTATTTGACAGTGTCTTCACCAACACTGATGATCACTACTTTTCGAGCATCATCAATGCCTTACTCTAATCTTGAAAAAATATACAGTATTTTGGACTATGACTTTTTAAAGAGTTAATGAGCAAGAATTATATTTTCCTATTTTGAATGCCCACTGATGAGACCTTGCCCTCAGACCAGCTCACTCTGAGATCAGGTAGGCGGAGTGCCACATCCCTGGGAACTATGTGTAGATTTAGGCCAGGGTGATATGAAGAGGTCACAGACACAACCATCAGTGCCACGCAGTATGAATATAATAGGGTTGATCAGGGAAAAACCTACAAGCAGATCAGTAGAAGCATGCAGGAAATTGCCTGCGTTGTCTCATTCTGTAGCCCAGGCTGGGCATGGGAGGTCTGTGCGCACTCAGGGGCAACGCTCTGGTAGAAAGCGGCGTGTTGATAGAGTCAGGGACTCTGTAATTCTCTGCATATTTATAGAATCAGGGACAGGGAACAATTGTAAGACTTTGTAGCAGTGAAAGCTCCCTGGCCAGAGAAGGAACCTTTTTAGAAAGGGGGATCCTCGGAGCCCAGTGGCTAATGTCAGTGTGTACTCCTGTTGAGCAAACCCAGACCTGTGGAGCCGATTCTCTGTTGTGCTGCCATGAACAGGAGAGAAAGAGCCTCCAGGACAACCCATATTCTTCACATCAGAGGCAGTGTTTTTCCTTCTAAAATTTAATTGTGCCCATCGCTGCACTAGTTCAAACCCCAGCTATTTTCTCACTACTTGAAAGATGAAGTCCACTTTTGCCTCTTATCTCTTTATTTGTCTTTTGTCCATATTGATTCTTTGGTGCCCTTGCTGTCGTATTTCTTATGGCTTCTGTTTGATTCCCAGGGGTCTGTGCAGTGAATGGGCTCCTGTATGTGGTTGGAGGGGATGATGGATCCTGCAACTTGGCTTCGGTGGAGTACTACAACCCTGTCACCGACAAATGGACGCTGCTGCCAACCAACATGAGCACGGGGCGGAGCTATGCGGGTCAGTGTGCTCCACCCCACCCTCGTCCCACGCTAGGGGCACAGGGTGGGGCGGAGGAGGGGACGCTTGCTTATCGTGGGACCGAGTGCCTCCTCTAGGGATGGCAGATAATTGTCACATGTCGTCACTCCTTCATTCTGTGCCCACTACACATTCCCATAATTAGCATTTGTTTCTCCAGCAAACCTGGATGTAGCTTCGGAAATCTTAACAGTGTTTCAGGGAGGCTTTTCCAGTTGATTTGAGGCATCATAAGAGGCTTTAGAATTTTATTGCCATTCCTGGTTTGTCTTGTGCCAGTCTCCTATGTAGAATAAGATCCAGTTCTTGCTTTCCAGAAATAATTGGAAAGATAAGGCCTGCCTGCACAAAACAGGAAATACAAGACGTTGCACACGTACATCCTAAATGGAATGCACTGTACAGGCTTTAGGACACGACAGGTGAGAGCTGGCAGTCAGAGAAAACTTCCTGAAGGAGACGGGGCTTGTTTAAACTTGTGAGGCGGATCACAGTCACCAGAAGGCTGCCCTTTGCTGGTACCTCCTCCCTGTGCCATGGGACAGCATGTTAAGTACAGTGTAGAATTTGCTCACATATTGTCAACAACCCTCTGGTCAAATGAGACTGTAATCTTCCAAGTTACATATGATGAAACTGAGATTTAGAGGGTTTGAGTAACCTGCCCAAGGCCACACAGTTAAAAAACGGCAAAGCCAGGATTCAAACCCAGGTGTGACTCCCAAGCCCATGCTCTTTGTATGACCCTAGCTTGAGGTTGGGGGAAGGAGTATTTCATGCAAGAGGCCAGAAGGAGGAGAAGGCGTGAGGCTTATTCCTGGGGAGAGAGTGTGGTGGGTTTGGTGAGGTGCAGGGGCAGGGGCAGAGTTGGTGCTGCTAAGGTAACGGGTCTGTAGGGAGACAAGCAAACACATTTCCCTCAGGTAGTCCCGCTCCTCCTATCTGGTTTTCCAGAAACTGGTGAATGAGAGCTAACATGTATTTATTGAACACATGCAATGTGCCAGGCATAATCTTATATATTTTACAACCATGATCTCATTTAATCTACTTCAGGACTACTCTGATGGTATTCTTAATCCCATTTAGTGTCAGAAAGGTCAACCACTCCTCCTTTGGATTTCAGGGCCAAGAAAGGTTGAGCCTGGCAGGCTCAAAGGGGTTTGTATCACCTTACACATTTTGTCAACACAAGGCTTTAAGTGCAGTAAACTTATTTCACTTTTTCCCCTCACTTAGGATTTGCCTCTACTCAATATAAAAGGTTTTAGAGGCATTTTCATCCTAGCGTGATTCTGTTCTCATGGTTAATTATTAAAACCGGCACGTCATTTTCTGTTTGAAGTCTTAGTGGGATGAGCAGGGAATTTTTTAGCAGGAGGCAGTGGCGCCAGTGAGGGACACGCCTTGGCTCCACACACGCCTTAGGAAGGCTTCTGCGTCAGTGGTTAGAACTTTGTATATGTGCTGAATATTTCATGTCCGTCTCTTTATTGTCGGCTCACTCCAGACCTAGGTGGGAAGGAGACAAGCAAACGTGTGTTTAAAACCACTGAGTGATTCTGTTATCTTAGAGTCTAAGGAAATGGCCTAAAACGTAAAGATTTATGGACAGAGTTATCTACTGGAGCATTATTTATAATAGTAAAAACCTAACTACTTAATGTCTGACATGAGGGAAACAAATAAACTGTGGGATGTTTATACAGTGCAAGTATTTTTAATGCCTTGAGAAAATATTTGTGATAGATTGTTAGGTTAAAAAAAGGAGGATGTAAAATGTATGCACCACGAAATCTCAGTCATGTAGTGCTGGATCATGGGGGGTTGAATAGCTACTGATTACGGATATTGGAGTGAGGTCTGAATTTGAATCCCAGCTCTGCCTCCAGCCTTGGGACTCTGGGCAAGGTAATCAGTCGGACTGAACCTCTGTTTCCTCATTTGTAAAAGGAGAATAAAATTATACCAAGCCTCTTAGGGCTGTTGGGAGAATGAAACACGATTATAGTGGGAAAGTGCTTAGCACATGCCTGGTTGGCACATCAGAACCACCCAGAAAATTATTGTGATTATTATTAGAAGCCAGGAAACATTCTAAACAGTAACGATGATTCTCTTTGTATGAAGAGACTAAGGTTTTGGTTTTTTTAAAATTTCGTGGTCTTCTGCATTTTCCAAATTTTCCATAATGGGAATATAATAAAAAAAGTTTATATTAAAAAACAATACAGGAGCCTGTTTTTAAAAAATAAAAAAGCTACCGTGTGAAAGGGAAGCCTGAGATGCAGGCAAGATGATCTGAAAGGTCAGGCAGCACATCTGGGTCTGAGGACTCAGGTTCTCTACCTCTAAGCTTTTACGTCTGTACCTTTATCTAGAAATTAACATGAAATGAATTTCCTATCAGAATATCACCATTGGGGCATCCTGGGGTTTCTTTTAGCATTGCTCTCTTAATTTCAACTTCAACCAGAAGATTTTATAGTCATGAATATGATAAAATAAGGCTCTAGTTACCATCATACATGTAGCCCCCACCTGTAAGTTAGGGTTTTGTTTAGCAGCAAGTACCAGAAAAATTCACAGATACTTTTATTTACATATGAAAGGATCATAGTTGTCTCAGGCAGAAAGAAGTTAAGAGTGGGTCTGGTAGCTTAGACTGTCATTGAAGAACCAGGCTTCTTTCTTTTCTGTTCTGCCAGCTTTATTAATAGCTTTTGCTGTTGGGCCTTGCAAGCACTCCAAGCAGGACAAGGGACAAAGCCAAAGTTGTAGCACTGGCAGACTTGCATTTACAATCATGTTGGCCAGGACCAGGTCACATGGCACTTCCAGCTGAAAGGTAGTCTGGGAAACTGGACTCATAACTTGCTGATCTCCACAGTAGAGGACAGCAAATAGGAGGGATATTGACCGAATCAACCTACACTATCTGCCACATGACCTCAGTCCATTACAGAGGGATTTCAGGGTCATATGTGGATTTACAAAGCTAGCTGTTTAGTATGGTTCAACTCGGCTAAAACGGCAACACATACAGACATGTCTGGAGTGTTTATCCAAGAACAGAACTCAGCCCTGGAGGGGTCTTTCAGTTAGATGACATTGAATAATCATGGAACTGAGCCTAAAGAGGTAAAGAGGCTACAGTGAAGCTTGACTGGTGGCAGAGGTAGGATTGCACTTCAGTTTTTCTTATTTTCATGAAGGCAGCCTATTCTTTCTAGTTTGTACCAGTGTCTTTTAAAAGTAGATATGAATTATCATCGCTTCTCTTAAAGTGGTACAAACTTTGAGATGTATAGCTGCCTCTGGGATTCTAGTGAGGGTGCTGAGCATTGTTAAGCTCGGTGCTGGAGTTGGGAAGGGGCATTATTCCAGTAAGAGATCAATTTGTGTGATGATGTGGGTAAGACCACCAACCTGCGGTGTTGCGGGACTGTGCTCGTGGTTCACATATCTTGTGGAGACTTGGCTGTTAGAGTGGGCATCGGCCAGCTGCTGGCAGCCGCATCCACAGGCCCTTCAGCATTTGGATATGAACTATGTCCTTTGCCCATGCTGTGGCTTAAGAGGTCAGGACTCTGAATAACTTTGGAGAGGCTAAGATGGTAACTTTCTTCCTCTTTCATCTTAGGTGTTGCTGTGATTCACAAGCCCTTGTGACCCCAACTCCCACTGCCAGGAGGCGGGAGATGGGAGGGGTGCTGCCTGGGACTCCAAACAGAGGGATCACCACGCTGGATCCCACTTGCTGGAAGAGTCTGCAGCAGAGCGAGAACTGCCCTCCTCCGACTTGGCGCAGTGGAGTCCGGAGTCAAGACTGTGATCCACCTCCCGCACCCCTGAGGGGTTTTGGCCTCTTTCCTAAGCAGTGGGTTTCTGATAGCTTCAGGTGGCACCTTTGGGCTTTTTTTGTTTCTACAGGGACAATGTGTGTGTAAGAGAGAGAGTAAGTGTGTGTGTCTGTGTGAGTGTGTGTATATGTGAGTTTAGAACATGGTATTTCACTAGCTTGGGGGTGGGGTGTGACAGTCTACTGGTTTTCTGTACTACTGATCCCTCCCTCCTCTGTGCTGAAAATCAAATCACAGAAACCTCTCCTCTGGATTTGCCCCATGGGCACCCTGAGACTACTACAGCTGCTGTCTGCTGGAAGTCCAGCTGGACAGCAATGTCCAGAAGTGACCGGCAGGAGAAGCCGTGCTTGGACCATGCCCACATACTGGCCTTAACCACTGGCACTGTCTGCAGAAGAAGTGGGCATCCTCAAAGCTGCACTGACTCCTCTGTGGTGAGAACCAGGAGCAAGGGGGCTCCCTGGTCCCTCAGCTGGGCCCTCTTCCTTGGGCTGTCCTGCAGGAAGCGCACGGGAACTGCTCAGTCTTCAGACCTACTAGTCTTTGACATCATAGATTCCAGGTTTGGGAGATTTTGTGTTTCTTCAGCTGCGAAAACTAGTTTTTCAGAGAAGCCCTGAGTAAGACACTAGGAAAAAAATATACATGAAAAACAAAAGCAAAAAAAAAAAAAAAAAAAGAAAAAGAAAAATCAAAGTGGAAAGGCTTCAGTCTCTGCCCATAATGGTCTCGAAGAGAATCCTACTTCTGGATTTTTTCAGGATACGAAAGTCCTCATTACCTATGACCCAGGAGTAACTATTCACAACATCCTATTTACTCTTGAAAGTGTTCTGATTTGGAGGATTAGTAAAGGTTATCCTACCTCCAAACCCAAGGATAGTTTTGTCCCTGAATTGGATGGGGTCACGTGTGACTCAGATGGACTTGGATGCCTTCAAAGGAGTTGACTGGGGCTGGTCCTTAGCACTTTGTGATGATGGGCCTGTCTGTCTGAGCCTGTCTTCCTGTCCTTGTGCTCTCCCCTATCCCAGGGCCTGTGCCTTCTCTCCCACCCTCAAAACACTCCCCTCTGCCTCGCTTCCCCTGTGGGGAAGAAGATGGTGGTAGGCCCCGGATGTGTGACCTCTCTTGGGGGCACTTGCATTTTAAGAGAGGAGCTGATGAGAACTTTGCTAATTCACAGGTAAAAATTATTAATGACAACTTCAAGAATCTGGGGGCAGGGGGAAGCAGGTATGGGAAGGTGAACAGTCATTTGCATTAAAAAAAAAAAAAGAACCTTGAAGATGTGCTGTTCCTAAAGTAGCAAGTTACTTATATTGGGATTTCTGGCATAAGGAGTGGAGGTCTTGTCTCTTGGGGGCTAGAGTTTAAACTTCCGTGGTGTAAAAGTCCACCTAAAGGGGGTCAAGGAGCTTTATGAACTCTGATATTGGACTTCTGACACACCTGGTCTCCTTCCAAGCAGATACTCTAGGAACCGGCCTTCCCCCCACCTCACCTGCCCAGTTAGAAACCCAGGATCTTCCCAGCTAGTTGGCCACTTTGTATTTTTACAGTATATTTATCGTGCACTAAACACTGAACTCTCTTGAAGATGAAACTTCTGATGTTGAGCAGATGTTATTTCAGTGAGACATTTGGAGTGAACTAAGGCACCCCGAATTTTTAGTAACCTTGGGAAGAGGCTAAATATCCAGCTTTGATGGACCTGGAAGAAATCGCCAAAGGAATCAAGGCGAGTTTTAGTTGGGTGCCCGCTCTCAGCTGGCACTGGAAGTGACTGTGGCGTCCGAGCTCTGCCTTGCTCTGGGCGGAAGCTGATGGAATGGGCTTTTTGTTCTGAATGTTCTTCCTCCCTCTCTGAGGAAGGTCTGGGACATAGCTTTGGGGTATGTGTGTGTATGTGTGTGTACGCTGGGGATGAGGATGAGGTTAGGGTCTGATGTGTGCTGTTCACACAGCATCTGAATTCAGATGAAAGGTGAGATTTCCCCTCCCCTCCCCTACCACGTAGGAGCTGGGCTTTCACTCTTTGTGGGAGAGGCTATTGTTTGTGTATCATCTTCTCAGAAGGGTCCCTTTCCCTGAAAGCTAGCCAGCTGTGTTTCCTGCTTTTGGAGTTTTGCTATTGGTTCCACCTCACGTCTCCCTTCCAAGGAAGCACAGTCCCTGCTGGCAGTGCTGCTGAGGCCGCCATGTTCATTTCATCCTCACGTGTCCTTCTCATGGGGCCTAGAACACTGGTATGTCATCCCCAAAAAGCCAACTGCTCTAACTGCCCACAGATGCCATCAAAAACCAGATGTCTTTTTATCACCAGGTACTATTCTCTCTCCACAGTGGGCACAACAGACTTATTTTCAAGTCTGTGCTGGTCATGTGGTAGATGAACCCCTCAAACCCCATTCAGGTGGCCACAACTACGTGTGAATGCAGCCGTGCCAGTGGTGTATCTGAAATCTGATTGGAGTGATGAAATGGAGTTGTGGCCCAAGGTTAGAAGCCGCTTAGATGCTACTTGGATGGAGATTTGGGCTACATAGAAGTCAGACTCTGAATTCCAAAGTTATGTCTCATAAGTACCCAATGGCGTCGCTCCATCTAAAAAGTTGCAGTATTATGCAAATGAAAGTGACCTCATTTTCTGCTATGCAATAAGAATACTTAATTCTATTTCATGACATACCAGTTGTAACATCTCCTAAGATGCTTTTTGAGCTGTCTTACTTTGATATCTGTTGTGTAATGTTTGTATATTCCTGAGCCAGATCCTTTCAAAGATTGCCTTTTTATAAAACTGAAGCTATAGCTTTCAGGTTAAAATTTTAATGTAGATATTTTTATAAGATAATTTTTTAGGATATTTGAATTGCTTTTTATTGTCCATGATAATGAAATATTATGTTCTATACTATATGTTATTCACTCTTAAATATAGTCCATGCCTGTAGCTCTCTTCCCTGTGTTTCTCATGCTCCCAAACTGATTTTGTGGTCGCTGTGGGTAGAAAATGTAATCACTGGTGTTTCTTGAAACCCTTAGGGACTGACGTTATGCCGGACTCAGCACGCACCCATCTGTGTCTGCCTTTTTGGAGTCCACTTTCTGCAGTGGTGAGGCTGGCTGGCCCACTCCTGGTGGTTCTCCCTGCCCGGCACTGAGCCTGGCCCGCCCTGGCATGGGAAGCCCCAGAAAAAGGTCTGGCCTCTAGCACATGCTGCCAGGAGTGTCCGAGGTCTAGCATACCAGCCCTCATTCTCTTCTGTCTCCTTATTTTTCTGAAGCTTCCAACAGCTTAAGGCCTTTGCTGCCCGGTGATGTCCCTTTTGGAAGCCTTTTGCCTGTGAACTTTAAGAGGGTCACTCTCATGAGCCCCATTAAGAATGTGTCAAATATGTGCTTCACAGATACTCACACTACACTTACAAAATTACTTGTTTTTTGAGCTGTGTCTCCACTTCAGGCTCTTTTTCGTGTATGAATTTGCCATTAGCCTCATTAAAAAAACTTTATTTTTATTATTATTGGGACAGGTGCCATTTGAACTGCCTCCATGCTCCCCATTTGCACCTTGTTGGATCAAACTCATTCCAGCTACCTGGAGTTTTTAAGTGTTTGTCTGGAGAAGCAAGGAGGTTGGAATGTATTTTTTAAGTGCACTATTCAGAGTCCTACGCCCCTCACGTTCAGCTGTGCTGTATATCTACTGACCAAGCAGGAGAGCTGGCAGCACTTCCAACATCTGGGAATGGAGGAGGCTTCCTCCGTGGTGGACAATCGCAACCTTGTAAGCCCTGTGCAGCCTCTGTCATACGACTCAGTGACTTGTGGATCATCCACGGCAGGAATGCATGGGACTGTGGCATTTGGAGAAACAAATTGCTCTAGTACTATGTTCTTGCCTTTCGTTATGAAATTTCAAGTTATTTTCCCCTCTTTTCGTTGGCAATAAAGGACCCTGGTTGGACTTCTTGTTCAATTTGTATATGGTGTGTAAAATGCTTTCTTTGAAAGAAAACTCAAGACACTGAATGTGTATGTCTCTGTGGGTGTGCCCGTCTGTGTCGTTGTCCCTAGGCAGGCAGACTCGTCGCTGACACCCTGCAGCACAGGACCTGGGTAAGGCCCTTGATCTGGTGTTTTCTGCTTGGACATTAGGGCCTTTATATCTTGTAAAAGAACATTTGTCACATGCTCGATCAGTGACAGTGCTAACTGAATTAACAATTCCTCAAATGTATTATTTTAACAAGAATCATGTTCTAGTTTCCCATACTTTGTTACTTTAATTTTAATAAAAGCTGAACTGTGAGAACCTTTTTCAGTATTTCATTTCTGTGGTCCAGCCTCTGTATATGTCTCAGACGTGAAAAGGACAGACTTATTCCTATGTGTCTTCAGATTTAAATTTTTTTATCTTTAAGATCTCCTGGATAGGGTCTGGGCTCCTTTGGTCTCTGTTCTCTTGCCCAAGAACAGTGCCAGACCACAAAGGGGCCCCAACAAGCCCATTCCTCCAGTCGGTATTTGGTGATATGAGCAATTGCTCATTGAGTATTGTGAGTTGGGTGTGCCGATCTCAGGCATGGGGACAGAAGAGAGGGATTCAGCTGTAAATAAACATTGATTTATTATTTATTTTTATTATTTTTATCCTCACCTGAGGATATTTTATTATTGATTTTAGAGAAAGAGGAAGGGAAAGAGAGAAAGAGAAACATCGATGTGAGAGAGGAACACTGATCGGCTGCCTCCTGTACTGGCCCTCACAAGGGATCGAGCCTGCAACATAGGTATGTGCCCTGACTGGGCATCAAACCCACAGCCTTTTGGTGTATGGGATGATGCTCCAACCAACTGAGCCACCTGGCCAGGGCAATAAACATTGATTTTTAAAAGTTTGTTATACCTAGAGGTTTAATAAGTATTTTCTTATGTTTTATTAAATATACAAATATTATATTTTATTAAACTTCTACAACTATTTATTAATGTATATATTGGTATACTAGATATCAACATATATGAAATAATAGTAATAGCTAACATTTATTAAGTTCTTACTATGTGCAAGGCACTTTTCTAAGTGCTTTACTTATCGATGCCATTAATCCTCATCACAGTCTTCTGAGTTACTATTATCTGCATTTTACAGATGAAGATATGAAATGCGGAGAGTTTAATCAACTTGCCTAAGGTAGCCATGGCTACAAAAGGATGGAGCCACTTGAGAGCCTGTGTCCTTAATCTTCCATCACTTCAGCTCTGAGGAGGTGAGGGGAGAAGGGTGTGCTGACAAGCACCAAGGAGAGGAAGGCACCAAGGGCCTCTGGGAAGTGCAGACATGGTTTAAGAAAAACATTGAAGCCCAAGTTTTCAGGCCAGTTGGGCCAAAAATGCCCCCCTCTTTTATTGCTGGTAAATAACCATGTTTTTTACTGTGACGATAGTAGCAGTAGCCACTATTGATGATGTGCTTATTTTGTACCAGCCACCCTGCTAGATGCTTTGTAACTTGACCTTTAATACACAGCCTCTGAGGGTGGTGTCGCTATCCCTTTGTAGGCTGGGTGTCTCCTATCGGCTGCCCTGCCTTGCTGCTTTCTGGACTCCTCATCTCGATTACCTGTGGTCACAGGGAGTCAGGTCTAGGTCCCACCCTGTGGGAGGCGAGCCTCTTAGGAAGGAGGCTTGGCTCAGCTGCAGCTTCTCAAATCCGCTTGCCCAGGGTCCCGGGCTCCCACTCTGATTAACAAACCGGACAGTGCCAGCCCCCTTCAAGATGTCAGTGGCTCTGCCCTGTTCCAGGTGGCTGATGGGACAGCACAGAGGGGTCAAGGAGACCCCTCTAAGCTGGAGAGACCCGAGGGGTGAAAGGAGCCTCTTGGCCAGATCCCTACCCACATTTGGAAAGTAAGTTTGAGATCCAGAAGGCATGCCCTGCTTGACTTATTCTGCCTCCTTGGTGCCTAGCATGTGGACACTCAGGAAATATTTACAGGAGAAGGCAGAAAGGCATGTGAGGAGGGCTCAGGTGTTGATGCCTTCACCTCCTCCTCTTCCTCCCTGCTCCCCTGGGCTGGCCTCCTGCTGTAGCCTCTGGTCTTTTGCCCATGCATTGATTGGAGAGCGGGAGGCCTGGTGCTGCTTGCCCTTTGCGTCTGCAGAACGCTTAGGCTTTTCAGGGCTCTGAGCCCCATCACATCCCTACAGGCGGCAGGCAGGTAGGAGTTAGCATCCCCCAGGGAGAGAGCAGGTCCAGAGAGGTGGACCTATTTATCTCAGTGTTCGTCCTAAGGGAGCAGGGGAGCAGGCCCAGATGGAAACTACCAATTCTTATGACCCACAGTTGAATTTGAGAATCATCCAGAGAAGACGGCCCTGGCTGCGGTTGTTTTAATAAACATAGTAGCGGGCATTCATTGTGCATTTACCATGTGCCAGGCCCTGTGCTGAACACTTGAATTCCAGTTAATCCCACAATACCAAAGCAGATGACACCCAGTCACAGGATCACAGGGGTTAATTGGCTGGTCCAAGGCCATATAAAACCTTGAGAAGAGAGGCAGCCCCACCCTCCGAGGATGGAGGCTGCTCTGCTGAGCTGTGCCATCCTCACCTCCCAGGGGGCTGGGCCTTGTGGGCGCCTCCTGGAGTGAGGGGGTTGCCAATGTCTGGCCCTCAGGGTGGGCAGTGAGGCAGAGCCCAGTGCCAGGCTGGAGATGTGCTCTGCCACCAGCCTACTGTGGTCCCGCCCATTCTGGGCCTGCCATCACCTCCAAGGGGACAATGGGCAGGGACTGATGAGCTAGTGAGTGCTATCAGCATGCATACCTTTCCTTCCCCTTGACCCTGGTGGCCTGGTTTCCCTTTTCCCAGGAAAAGTCCGAGAGTGAAATCCTATTTGGTAGTTTTTCTACCAACTTATTTTTCTACAGTTTACAAATAGGATGTTTTCAACCCTAACTCACTAGTCGGTGTTAATGTGAACTTCTGTTTCTGTCTGCCCATGTGATTTTCACTGGGCAGTTTGCATTCCCCACTGGCCATCCATTCCTGCCCAGGCAGCCTTTGCCATAATGCTGCATGTCATGGCCCATGGGACAGGACCCAGCCTCCGTGTCTGCAGATGTGGAGGCTGGGCCTGGAACCGTAGAAAGGCAGCAGGCTGTTGTTCGTGGGCAGTTTCTAGAGGCCTTTTGGTGCCGAAGCAGAGCCAGGTTCCCCATGAGCCCAGCGGAGGCTCCAGGCCCCTCTCCACCTGCCACGCCTGAGGTCGCTCTGGGGCTGGGGAGGGCAGTGGCTGCAGGCCTGAGACCACAGACCCCTGGGGTAGAGCGGAAAGGAGGTGGTGGTCCTGTCATGCAGGCCTAGTCTCTCTTAGACTCCTGTTTTGTGGGCACTCCTACTTTGAAGGCTGCTCCAAGCTCTGAGTGGCTGGAGATCCCAGCTCTTCCTAAGGAGCCAGAGTCCTCCATTGCCTGGAGCCAAAGGAAGCCTTGTTCACAGCTGTGTGACCTGCAGGGCAGCACTTTCCTTCTCTGGGACTCGTTCCTCACCCTCTAAACCGAGGCCTCTTGTGTCCTTATGATAATTTACTCAACTCATGAGGTCCTAGTCTTGCTCCCAATTGACTGGTGAGAAGATGAGGCTCAGCAAGACCCAGTGTCAGTGGGAGCTGGGGTCTGAACCTACGTCTTCTGAGGAATTATTTTTTGACAACTATGCCACACATTTTCACATTTTTAAACTCAGG